CAGGGGATTGTGGGTAATCCGGGGGGCTGTGGGTAATTCAGGGGATTGTGGGTAAGCAAGGGATTATGGGAAAGCAGGGGATTGTGGGTAACCAGGGGATTGGGGGAAATTCAGGGAATTTTGAGGGAATTCCATGGAATTCTGGGAGAAAGCAGTGGAAAAAAGGCGTGGAAATTGGAGAAAAATCCTTGGAATTTTGGAGGAAAACCTGGGAATTTTGAGGGAGAAATCCCAGGAATTTTGGGGAGAAATCCCAGAAATTTTTGGGAGAAATCCCAGGAATTTTGGAGGAAAATCTGGGAATTTTGAGGGAGAAATCCCAGGAATTTTGGGGGGAAATCCATGGAATTTCAGTGGGAAATCCCAGGAATTTGGGGGGAAATCCCAGGAATTTTGGGGGGAAACCTGGGAATTTTGGCGGGAAATCCATGGAATTTCAGTGGGAAATCCCAAAAATTTTGGGGAGAAATCCCAGGAATTTTGGAGGAAAATCTGGGAATTTTGAGGGAGAAATCCCAGGAATTTTGGGAGGGAAATCCCAGGAATTTTGGGGAGAAATCCATGGAACTTTGGAGGAAAACCTGGGAATTTTGGGGGGGAAATCCCAGGAATTTGAGGGGGAAATCCCACGAATTTGAGGGAGAAATCCCAGGAATTTTGGAGGAAAACCTGGGAAGTTTGAGGGGGGAAATCCCAGGAATTTTGGGGGGAAATCCCAGGAATTCCTCCAGGTCTGGAAAAGCCTCTGGAATTCTGGGAATTCTGGGAATTCTGGGAATTTGGGGAATTTTGGGAATTGCTCACCCAGGACGGAGAAGCAGCGCAGGAGCTCTGTGTGGTTTTTGGTGCTCGTGGGGACGTTGGGATCGATTGGAGCACAAATCTGGGGGGAAAAGGGAACAACAAAAAATCCTGGAAAAATCCCAGAAAAAAAATGAAAAAAAAAAGCGGGAAAAAATCTGGGAAAAATAGTGGGGAAATTTGGGGAAAAATCCAGGAAAAATCCGGGGAAAAATCTAGAAAATTTCAGAAAAAAATCTGGGGAAAATCCTGGAAAATTCCAGGAAAATTCCTGAGGAAATCTGGGGGAAAAAAACACTCAGGGAAAAGACTCTGGAAAAATAAGGGAGAAATTAAGATAAAATCTTTGAAATATCCATGGGAAATCCAGAAAAAAATCTGGGAAAAAAATACCATAAAAATCTGAGAAAAATATAGGAAAATTTCAGGGAAAAATCCAGGAAAAATCTGAGAAAAAATCCAGTAAAAATTTGCAATAATCCAGAAAAATTCCTGGGAAAAATCTGGCAGAAATTTGGGAAAAATCTGGGAAAAATACAGGAAACGTCTGAGAAAAATCAGAAAAAAAACACGGGAAAAATCCTGGGAAATTGCAGGAAAAATCTGGAAAAATCTCAGGAACAATTCAGGGAAATTTCTGGAGAAATCCAGAAAAAGCCTGGAAAAATCCAGGAAAAAAGCTGGGAAAAATCCTAGAAAAATCTGGGAAAATGTCGAGAAAAATCCGGGAAAAATGCGGGGAAAATTCTGAGAAAAATCTGGGAAAGATCTGGGAAAATCTGAGAAAAATCCGGGAAAAATCCAGGAAAAAATTGGGAAAAATCCGAAAAAATTCCAAGAAAAATCCAGGAAAAATCTGAGAAAAATCCGGGAAAATTCTGGGAAAAATTCGAGAAAATTTCGGGAAAAATGTGGGAAAAATGAGGGGAAAATCTGAGAAAATTTTGAGAAAAATCCGAGAAAAACGCAGGAAAAATCCAGGAAAAATCCGAGAAAATTTCAAGAAAAATCCGTAAAAAATCTGAGAAAATCCGGGAAAAATCTGAGAAAAATCTGGGAAAAATTCAAGAAAAATCCAGGAAAAATCCGAGAAAAATCCAGGAAAAATCTGAGACAAATCTGGGAAAAATCCGGGAAAAATGTGGGAAAAATGAGGGAAAAATCCGAGAAAAATCCGGGAAAAATCCGAGAAAAATTTGGGAAAAAGATGAGAAAAATGAGGGGGAAATCCGGGAGAAATCCAAGAAAAAATTGGGAAAAATCCGAGAAAAAAGAGGGAAAAATCTGGGAAAAAGCCGAGAAAAATCCAAGAAAAATCCTTGAAAAATCCCCCAAAATCCGGGAAAATTCCGGGAAAAATGCGGGAAAATTCCGGGAAAAATCCGAGAAAATTTCGGGAAAAATCTGAGAAATATCCGGGAAAAATCCGAGAAAAATCCGGGAAAAATCCGGCAAAAATCCGGGAAAAATCCGGCAAAAATCCAAGAAAAATCTGAAAAAATTCCAAGAAAAATCTGGAAAAATCTGAGAAAAATCCGGGAAAATTCTGGGAAAAATCCGAGAAAAATCCGAAAAAATTCCAAGAAAAATCCAGGAAAAATCCGAGAAAAATCCAAGAAAAATCTGAAAAAATTCCAAGAAAAATCCAGGAAAAATCTGAGAAAAATCCAAGAAAAATCTGAAAAAATTCCAAGAAAAATCCAGGAAAAATCCGAGAAAAATCCGGGAAAATTCTGGGAAAAATCCGAGAAAAATCCGAAAAAAATGAAGGAAAAATCCGGGAAAAATCTGAGAAAAATTTGGGAAAAATCCGAGAAAAATCCAGGAAAAATCTGAGAAAAATCTGGGAAAATTCCGGGAAAAATGTGGGAAAAATGAGGGAAAAATTTGGAAAAAATCCGAGAAAAATTTGGAAAAAATCCGAGAAAAATCTGGGAAAAATCCGAGAAAAATTTGGGAAAAATCCGGGAAAAATCCGAGAAGAATTTGGGAAAAATCTCAGAAAAATCCGGGAAAAATCCAAGAAAAATCCAGGAAAAATCCGAGAAAAATCCTTGAAAAATCCCCAATTTTCCCCTGTGCTTTTCCATGACTGGGGAGGTGCAGAATTCCCAAAGGATGGGAAATTCCAGGTGGAAATTTGGGAATTTGGGAATTTTCTCACCTGGGCCAGCAGAGTTGCCAGGAGCGATTCCAGCTGAGCCTCGAGGCTCCGGCTCCCGACGGCCACCGAGGATTCCAGGATTTGACAAAGACTCTGTGGGAAAAGGGACAGGAAAAATGGGGAAAAATGAGGGGAAAA